TCAATGATTACGTATACAGAAGGAACGTGCCAGGAGTAGGAAAATCATGCTGTCAATGTGGATATCCGTCCCAAAATATAAAGCACATGGTGATGTCTTGTCCAAGATGGGTAAAGGGAAGGGGTGAGTTGCTACGAAAATCGACAACTCGATCTTTCGAAGCTATGGTAAATAACGTCAAAGATATGACTAGAATTGCACAGTAGATTCAAAAGGAAGGATTGTTAGAGCAGTTTCGGATGACCGGGGAAATCGAGGCGTTAATCAGGAGAAGGGAGGAAAATGGATACACAGGACAAGGACGGAATCCACACTGGCAACAACAGTGTGAGTGCACTTCTAAGAGGTAAGGCTATAATTGCGCAAAGTCAAGTCAGACAGCTAAGGGGGTTTTTACCGCAAGGTTTCCTCCTATGTAAATATTAGTGTTCATAGACACCTGCATGGGCCCAAAGGGCGCCAAATCGGGCTAAATGAAATCAAATTCAAATTCAAATAGTAATAAACGACCCCACGTTCGATCACGTGATTGAAGTCATTGAACGAGACTGGGCCTGAAAGATAGCCCAGCCTAATCGAACGGGGCACAGCTCGTAACAGCACCCTCGACGCGTATGTCCTTGGGGCCTGTGACCCAGAAATTGTTGGAGCCGTGTTGCGAGCGGGTTCCGCGAGACTCTTCTTGACTACTTTTTCAAGAGCAAATATCCTTTCTTCGATGGGAGATTTCATCGTCTGCATCTCCTTCCAAGCCTTGTTGTATGCGTTGAAGGCCCTGACGGCCTCCGCGATGACTTCCGTAGTGATGGTTATGCCATATTCGTCTTCATCTGAATAAAGAGTCCTGAAAATTTTTAGTAATAGCCGTAGGATACTAAGATTCTTATTTGGTGGAGCTGTCGACGCTCCGCTGCCTTCGGACTGTTTGGCAATTCTCGCATTTTGCGACCCGTCGAGACCGCTGAATTCCATCGAACCGGCAGCTGAACCCACCATGTTATGCCCCAGTGGATATGGGGACAGAACTAGGGTAAGATTGATACATACATTCGAGCAACGAAGCCAATTTGATGAAAGAGGCAGCGAGGAATGCTGCGCAACTTTTTGTGAATAATTTTTTTAAAAATGTGCGGGCTTGACCCTCAATATCTTTAAGAACAAATTTTGGTATATTTAAAAATTAGATTTCTCAAATATAATTAGAATCTTTAGTTAGATTCACAAAGTCATCCATAGTCTTAGACTTAATAGGGACTATAATAAAAATCTAATCTAATAATTTTAAAAATGTCTCTACGCTTCCTTACTGAGCTGAAAAGAATTACGTCACCGGCGTCATTTCAGATATATTTTTTTTTAACAAAAGAGGATAGGAGGAATGTGCAAGGCGCAGCCTGTGGCCTAGAGGAGCCCAATGTATTAGATAGTCAAAAACTCAATGAGCGCGATAAGCCCGCACGCACACACATAAAATTTAAAGATATATGGAATACATTTCTAAGCTCGTCACTTGTGACCGGAGAGATAATGGGGGCTACGATTAAAATAACTTATTTGCACCGTGTAAATTACTAACTTAATGCTGCAGAATACAATTCTCTAGATAAGCAAATTCTCCATTGCAGTAGAAATTATAAGTCACAAGTTAAAATTTTTCCATCGTCTACCCAAACTTAGATTGTTTTGTCCGAGTGTGCGGAGAAGCATCGAGAATGGATGTCTGAGTGAAATGCTGATATAGACTACTTATCATCTCTCTCGGGGATCGCCAAGACTATTACTCTCCCCACTATTCTAAATCAAGAGTTAGAGGGCAATGACAGAATACCTGTGTGTGGTGTCCTCTCCGAGCCTGGGAGTGAAATATTCTCCAAGAGCCAAGTTCAGTCAAATTTCGCAATACCGAACAACTTTGCCCATGAGGCATGATTCAAGACTCTCTACCTAATTAATTCCTCCTATCTAACGAAATTGATGCTCATCAAGTTTATAGGTACAAGTTAGTGCATCCTCATTCCAATGGTCACATCTTTCATTCAGTATTCCCTGGCCTCAACTGGTCACCAAATACACGCCCTCGCCGATATTCACACCCGACGGAGGAGACAAAGCGTGGCGCACAAATCTGGGAGATAGTCCTTTGGGATTGACTTGAGAGATATCAGGACAAGTTTACAAGATTATGTAGAGGATGGATATAATGTCGACGGTTATAAATACATAATTCAATATTCCTGATTTGGCGCCTTGAGGCCCATGCAGGTTTTTATCGGAAGATATGTACTTTAAGTAGGATGATTCAATTTGACGTTTAGAACACTCACACTCGGATCTCATTTGCAGATATCACTCGAGGTTAACCCTTACGGCATATAAACTCTTCAGTGCATACCTACCACAGGGAAAATCGTGAGAACCCCATGGTTATCCGGGTGTGCTTTCATCATCCCACAAGAACAATATCACCGCGAGAGAGTGTTGTGTGGGTCTTACCGGATTCGAACCAGTTTTCTCCTGTCTCAAATGGGCTAGGTGTTCAAGCTACTTAGATTCTACTCGTGAAAACGGCCCGAATGGTGTACCACTGCACCATCCAACCCAATGTCGACGGTTGTGAATATTTGAAATTCGCCGAGTTTTACGAATTGAGTTATGTGTGCGCCAAGCTTTCGATTGCGAGAGTACAGCTGACACTTTAAATACAAGCCAACGATGGAAGGTGCCGTGGCTCGTCTCCTGGTGGTGTTCTCTGGCAAAGTATGAGTAGTCTAAGCACCTAATCCACTTAGAGATGAGATGCTCTGATTATGTTATGCGCGGAGAAAAGTAGATGGGTGACGGAGGAATATCTAGATAACTCAGGGTCTTTGAGACGTTTCCCTGGGCGAGTATTCAGGGATGAGGTTTGGCTTGGTGTGAAGAAAAAGCCGCCATATCTTCGCAGTGGTACTTGCAAATGAAATCCGAGGCATGGGTACTCTTCTTGAAATTTGAATCATCTATTTCTGTACTTTTTCTCTGATATTGTGTCATGGCTAGATAGCTGCATACGCAATTAAAATCTGATTCAGAATAAATCAAGAGTCGCCAAAATTTTCCCCGTGATTTTAGTGATGGTGGTTGGATTGTGAACAACTGTAGCTAGTAATTGAAACTCATTTAGCCCCTCTTTTCATGGGCCTTGTTTCCACAGGGCTCTTGGAAATCAGTGATTTTCCATCACATTGTAAGTTATCTCTTCTTAGTTAGTAATTTTACTTCAGTCCGATCTCATCTAGAAGCTTACCTTGCCAAGTCCGTATTCCAGGATTAAAGCTCCCTCGTAAGCATATGTGACAATATTGGCAAATATGTGGAGCTTGATTGAAACCAAAATCATGTAGCAAGGAAAGAGAATAAGAATCGATCGTAAATTTTACTAGTCCCTGTGCCTCAACGAGTCATGACTATACTTGGAGTGAAACCTCGATGTGAACAAAAGACAGAACTAATTGGAAGACCTGGAATTATAGCTATTAATGCTTGAATAATATCTGCCAGACCCTGGCCGTGAATGAGCATTTCATCCGCAGCTTAATTGAAAGCAACGTGTACAGGCTTTGATCCTTCTCCATTGCGCGATTGAGTCTGATGCATTTGTCAGATGACTAACAATATCTATGGGAATATCACAGGGCTAGTGACTTGGCCCAAGTAGCTGTCCCTTTGAATGGGACAAACTGATGTGTCCATTAGGCTACAGATAACCCAAGTGTTGCCGAATGAGTCGCTGGGGAATAAAGATCTAATGCCTGAGACTTAAACAGGTGGATCGATGATCGCTGTCGCATCTTGCACAAACTCATCATTTATTACTTTGCGTCAGATTGGCTGAGTTTGGCTCTTGGGTTGTGAACTCCGTTCTGTTGCTTATTAATTCATTTTATTGTCCTTTCTGAGTCTATGATAATGTAGGACATGTAGGACCTTTCTGCCTATAGGCCAAGGATACCTATACCGGTTCTGTTGCTTATCTTCTCATGAATCGCGTATCTATTTCCTCCTAGCCTTGTAACCCCTGCCGAAGAGCAGTTCATTCTCCCAAAACTTTTAACGGATTGAAAATTTGAATCGCGTGATCACGGATAACTTAAAACTTCAAATTTATTGAGCAGATTCCGAGCGATTCTTTGCGAATTTGTCATCTTTTCCTTCCTCAATTTACCATGGATGCAACAAGACAATATGAAAAACGAGGAAATAGATTACTGTGCAGTGCTCTTGATGAGGCCGAAGTAATTCTGTGAAAGACAGAGCTCAGGTCACGTGTTATATATGTGGTCTAGGGATACCTTATGTGTAGTGTGTGTCGATGCTAATTGTGCTACTTGAGGTTTACCTGAGGCTCTAACGATGCCAAGCTGCTGAAGGAGATACTTGACTTTTGTTGAGGACGTACAGGTGGTCCAAGACTATCTCTCTCTTTAGCTACAAGATATCTAGCATGCGTGGAATGAGATTTGTAACAAAACCTTATCAGATAAAATATAACGATTAAGATACCATTCAGCCATCAAGCCCCCGCTATCCCGCCGTCCGAGATGAACTAAGCCCTGAACATGCGACCCTTGCCTTTTTTCAGGGTTGCAAGTATCTATCCAACGTCTTATTGAGAGGTTTTCGGGGAGTGACTTCCATCTTGATTGTTTAATCTTCGCCATGGAGTTCTGTACGTTGGGCAAGATTAAAATTAATCACGCAAATCACTCCCCGGACTTAAATGTTTCGTGAATACGCGCTCCACTTACATCACAGCCAATAATATGATGGTAATTAACAATTTTGTAAAACCCCTGATCCTAGGAGGCCCAGCACGGTCTCCTAACACGCTAAGCTCCCGCCTTCCCGCAGCCTTCTTTGTTCATAACCCGTGTTCGTCACGGGTCATCCGTATTGATCTGGAAAGCTTCAACTAAGTCAGAAATCTAGGGAGCGGATTACGCCACAGAAATTCAAAACTCATGTGTTCTGTATTGAAACCATTCTCGGTGACTGACTTCCGGTCGGATCACCCAATGGAACGTCTGAGCAGGAGAACACTTTATCAGGGGATAGCAGATGGGATCTCTATGAATACGCCGTCATCTCTGGACACCGTTAAGGCAGATGACTTGCAAACAACGCGTAGAAATCATTTACAAAAATTACATAAGAGCTCTAACTGCTCCCATGAGAGAGAGGCTTCGCTTCCCGATCTTCAGGTACAGACGACTGTATCTCGCTCTCCGAAATCTCCAGTATCGGTAAGTAAACCTCACATTAACGCCGAACCCGCCGAAACCACTCCATATCCCCAAGTGTGCAGGTAAGTGTGTAATGGAATACATAGTTATATTAATGAAAGCTCACTGGTGTAGCAACTGTGAAACAAATCGAACGCCTCTATGGCGCAGATCGACTCAAGGGGAAACGCTCTGCAATGCCTGTGGTCTCTATTACAAAGCTCGTAACTCTGCTAGACCAACGAATCTTAAACGGCCACAATTTATCTCTTCGGTACCAGCAGTATTGAAAGAGGTGCCGGAAAGCTCAATAAAACTACAAAACACATCTCTTGGCTCGTCATATGTAGCCGCAGATCAGACAGTTGGAGGCTCATGTCCAGGCGGAGGCAAATGTAATGGGACTGGTGGCGCTATAGGCTGTAGTGGCTGTCCTGCTTTCAATAATCGGATTGCTAAAACGGCACATTTCACTATCTCGCAACAGGCCCCATCGATAAGTCAGTCTGCGAACACTCAACCCATCAATACCCCTTCGCCCATAGATATGACATCTCCTAGACTCCAAACTAGAAGTACTGCTGTTGTTGTGGCCTGTCAAAATTGCGGTACAACTATCACGCCTTTGTGGCGCAGGGATGAGGGTGGTCGCACGATCTGTAACGCTTGTGGTATATATTATCGATCGAATGATTTTCTCGTCACTAATACTCTTAGGCCTGTACTGTAAACTTCATGGTGTCCACCGTCCCGTCACAATGAAAAAATCTACCATTAAGCGCCGAAAACGACTAGTACCAGCCGTCTCATCCGGAAATTATGACGTAACCTGCAGCTTGACTGCATATCCTGAATTAGAACGGCCCTCTCCATCTTCTGAGCCCTTAAGGGGTAGCATTAATCTAGACGGATCGGTTAACCTAGGACAAAGCATTCCTGCCAGTCAAAATCGTGTTCTTCCTGACCCTCTGACAATACGCTCTCAAAACACAGCAAATATTGCAACGAAACCTGCTTACTTATCCACTGAAACCAAGTCTCACCCCGAAAATCGATTTCTGCAGCCAAATATCTGCGATCAGATCCTCCCGCACATTGATAATTCTCTTCCTTCAACACAGAATTTTGCCTCTCCAACTCCTCTAGACCCTCAACCCCATCAAAAGAGAACTTTCTCACAAATAGAACAAGATTCATCTCCAATGGCACTTGCTGACTCCCAATCACTTCAAACTAATCGTCCTGGCTCCATCGAGTCACTTCTAAATCCGGGCTTTAAAGCACTCGACAGATCTCTTCCAAACAAATCATTGGATTGTTATCCCGATATCACAGAAAATATCAGCTGCTCATCAAGTTCGGCAGATAATTCTGTACAAAAGCAGTTGATGAGAGCGAAAGGCGAGAAGCGTGTGGCACTACAACGAGAGGCTGAGAATATACGGGAAGCACTAAAGGCGAAAGAGCGGGAGTTGAGAGAGTTAGATGTTGACTGAAGTTTACTGTGCTTGAATACAAAATCCCACGCGTTTTTCTGGGGACATATTATTCTTGATGGCAATGGTTACTTACATGCGAAACCTGTCACTTTTCGAGCGTTGTCTTTAAACCACTGGAATGTTAGATTGTGAAGTGATTCAGATCCTTAACATCGGCAAATAGTTGCCCCAAACGGGGTTTACTTGCGCCAAAACAATCAGGCTTAACATCAGTCTATCGCTCACTGAGATTGATTAGGAAAAATTCAGCATCCAAATTACAAGGAAGATTATTAGCACCTTTCTATTTTGCCCCCAGAATTTTCCATAGATGCCTCAATGATTAATTATTTCAGCTCGAGTCAAAACCCCAGTTATTCAAGGGAATACGGCCCAATATGGCAGACCACGAAAGATAAACGCAATCGCCTTGGCGCTTACACCCATGTCCAATCCATTTCCACGCGATAGCTTATCCTCGGATTGCGGTTTTATGTTATTCAATTAGTGGCTCTACCGCGCCATTATCTAGACATACTCTACAACAACCTTAACATGTCAAATTTAACTACCCACATTAATTTACTTACCATTCATATTCAATTACCGACATTCTAACGATGAGCTTACAAGGCCACTGATAAGAAAAGTCTCTGCGCTTCTCCGATATGTCATAAAAGATGTCATTCAGTTGGCGCAACAATAAAGCAGCTGCGTAGATTAGCAAGCATGATGAAGTTTTTCCCAGAAGAGAAACTCTACATAGGCTTTCCTAGGTCTTACTATCTAGATCACGCTCAAGCAGTTCGGAACAATTTATTTATCCTAGCGCGGCTGCCAACTTGACATGACCAGGAAATATGTGTCTTATTACGTTATCGTAATTAGTCAGATATTTTTCCAAGAAATACTAGGGGAAAACCAGCACACACGATGCTCTTGAAATTGAAATTGCCATAACAGCCAGCTAAGATAATTATTGACCAGTCTACTTTCATTCTTGCGGCATGCGATTTGAAGTAGTTAGTCTACGCTTCACGGACGAATGATAAAGCCTCCATCTCAGATCTAAAAGGTCAGTGAGTCTTTCCTGAAGGAATTAACGGGAAACTACTGCAGAATATAGGGATGAGTTACAGAATATTAGGTGTTCAGGTACAGCAGTTGAGCACAGTGATTGCATCAATTTTGGCTTAATAAGAATCACTGATGATTGCAAAAAACTAGTGTCATCAATATGATAATGAGTATTGATAGAGCCTTGAGAACCATGTGAAAACAATGAATTGATAGGCTAGGATGGAGGCATCTAGCTTAGTCAAAGGTGTAACGGGATAGTATACGACGAACACCAAATTAGAGTAATACGTACGTGTACAATAAGATATGATTGACTTATATTATCGTTCATTGAAATGAGTCAGTATCAACCAATAGGTTTTAATTGGTATGAACTGTGATTTATATGTCCTGTACCCTTCTATTCTTGCTTAGCCAAGGGGGTGCTTTGTGATCTAGGATAACGGACGGAAACGTCTCAGATATTTACAAAGAAAGACCTCCTACCATCAAAATAGATTCAATTATCAAGAGGATAACGAGCCCCAAGGCATTAGATATAACGCGCGTTTGTTCAAGAAACTACTAAAGTGAAACGAAGTAAATAATTTTCAGTCAGGTGTGTATCAGCAGCTTGGTCTGCTTGATGGTCCCGATAAATCTATCTTGTAAGCCTTCTTGGCATCAAATGTTTATGAATAATCTATCTTGTAACAAAAACTGAGTGATTGTATACTACTTTTTCATATGCAGGCCATGGTGGATACTTTGTAATATTTTAAGCTCCTCGTTCGTTCCACAATTCCGCGAATACACTCAAGCACGAAATTTTAGATTGTCAAAAGCCCGCTTCAGTGAACTTATGCTATTACTACGTTGTTCTAGTGACATCTCTTAGCAGGAATGCGACAGCGGAAGTCGTGGAGGGCACCGGTGGGCAGATGCACCCTTTTCGATGAGGCTAGTGATGCAACGCAGCGAAGGAGGATGGATGGGTACAGATGCCGCTCAGCCGATAGTTTCCACATTTTTTAACTGATGCGCCCAGCGTCCATAAGCCCTCGGATGAGCGGACCCTACGACGATGCGTCACGACCGCGCCATTGTAAGCTCGAGTGGGTCTGATGGCCGTGAATAGTCTTCGTGTGGTTAAAATGTCTTACCATGTCTCGAGTATCTGGATCTGGCCAAACTAAATGAGCCATGCTGACTCATCGACTCAGAGGGTAAGCGTTTGGTATTAACCACTAGATACAAGATCTTCCACTGATAAGGCCAATGAAATTTGCAAGGAGAGGAGGCATAATTTGTCTTGGAAAGTCTTCGATTTAGCAGGATAGTCAAAAATTAGATCAGTCAACATGAAATATAATCAAATCAAATTTTCGCCTCATTTCACAGCCAACTGCCCTCCAAGCCTACTTGAAAATGCTAATGCAACGCGAAGTCTTGAGAGAGAAGGAGAGGTCAGGGCTAGGCCGAGAATTTATCGAATTTATCCAACTCTGAGTCGAGTGCAGAGGGGAGAACGTCGTGGCACTTACAGCTGATCCGATGGAAAAGATCACTCCCGTCGTGGCCCTAGCACTGGATTTGCCTCACATACAGCCATCCAAGTAAGACTCGGCCCTCCCAGTTAGCGTTCTAAAATTACTTGGGTCCAGCAAAAGCTGCTCAGCCACCAAAGCCGTTCTTGAAGACACCATTCCAAGTGATAGACCAACTTTGTTCAGAGCTTCTCGTTTTGCTATGGAGAAGTCCCCATTGATTTTTACACATTCACTCTAGGATTTGTTTGTGCAGTTGGATTGGTCGGACTGCGGTCTTTAGTCTCAAGTCCCGCACATACACGACGCTTCTGACAAAAGCTCTCATCTTACAGTTTTCTGCCTACTCTCTGACGCATCGGGTCGCTATCAGCTCATGCGCGCACAATGCTTGAGTCTGAGAAACGATCGCCGCACCGTCCGGCTCTCTGCAGTAGATGCATTTGGCCGCTCATCTTAGTGCTGCTAGAGACACCCGAGCTATCACGGCCTCCAAGCCCAATGTGCTTGATAGTCTACGACTCGAGTGGTACAATAAAAACATCACATCACGCCCACGAGATATTGTTATCAAACCATTCATGTCATTTTTGAGTTTACAACTATGTAGGACAAACTATTTAGAGACGTCGTGTTTATTAAATCCTAGTCTTGGTGATCCTTACATGAATCGAGGGCTCACCAGTCATACTTCACCAGGGGGCACTTGTACCTTGGAAAACAAATTTGAAAACAAAAACAATCAAGCCTCACCGTTCAAAGTCACGCCTGCATACTTGAGTCGCCAACTTCGCTCCACCCACCAGCTGCTGTCGTGTGTTCTTAGTGCTGGATGGAATCGGAAATCTTACCGTTCAATGCAGCCCTTAGACCGAGTGTCTAATGTGAGGGATGGATGACACATAATTGATCACTAGATTTACTCGCAGTTTTTTTATTTTGCATCAGATTTTAATTGCGTAGGCAGCTATCTACCTTTGACACAATATCAAAAAGTACATAGTAGATGATTAATGTAAAGGAGGAGCACTCCTGCCTTGGATCTCATTTGCAAGTACCACTGCGAAGTTACGGCGGCTTTTTCTTCATCCCAAGTCAACCCTCATCCGTGCATGCCCATCCAGGGGAACGTCTCAAAAATCCTGGGTTATCCAGACATGCCTTCGCCATCCATCAACTTTTCTCCGCGCGAAATGTGGTCTAAGGCGTCTCCTTTCAAAGTGGAGTAGGTACTCAGGCTACTCAAACTTCACCAGGAGGCGGACCACTACATCTTCCATCGTCGGCTTGTTTTTATAGTGTCGCCTGCACTCTCGCAACCGAAGCCATGGCACGCACAAAGCTCAATTTGTAAAAACTCCTTGCCAAAATTCGGAATTTGACGCCCTTTGAGGTTGTATCCTTCCTTTGCATCATCTTGTCAACTTGTCCTGAATCCTCTCACGTCCATCCCAAAGAACTGTCTCCCAGATTTGTGCGCCACGCTTTGCTTCCTCCTGCGGATGTAAATATCGGCGTGGGCGTGTATTTGGTGACCGGCTGAGGCCAGAGAAAGTCGACGAGAGGTGTGATCATTGGAATGAGAATGTACTAGGTCGTACTTGTAGACTTGATGAGACTTGGGTAGGATTCGATCTCTTTGGGAGTGAAAATTTGACGTGGAGTAATTTGAATCATTGCCTCGTGGGCCAACTTGTTCGGTATAGCGAAATTTGACTGAACTTGGCTCTGGGAGAATATTTCACTCCCAGGTTCGTAAAGGACACCGCGTACAGTGCATCCAGCACACCGTGCTGTCTGGAGATTCCTCGTCGCATTACCCTTGACTCTAGCTCTAACTATGAAAAATTAATTCAATTTTCCTGTTTTGGCGCCTTGAGGGCGATGCAGGTTTTATCGGAATATTCGTACTTTAAGCAGGATGACTCGATTTGGCCTTCAGAACACTCACACTCAGATTTCATTTGCAGATACCACTCGAGGTTAACCCTAACGGCGTATAACCTCTTTCGTGCATACCCACCACAGGGAAAAGCGTGAGAATCCCATGGTTTTCCGGGTGTGCTTTCATCATCTCACAAGAACAATATCATCGTGAGAGAGAGTGGTGTGTGGGTTTTACCGGATTCTAACCAGCTTTCTCCTGTCTCAAATTAAGGGCTTGTCCCTCAATATCTATAAGAACAAATTTTGGCATATTTCAAAACTAAATTTCTCAAATGTAATTAGAATCTTCAGTTAGATTCATAAAGTCCCCCATAGTCTTAGACTCAGTAGGGACTATAATTAAAATCTAATCTAAATCTAATCTCCTGTCTCAAATGGTCTAGGTGTTCAAGCTACCTAGATTCTACTCGGGAGAACGGCCCGAATGGTGTATCACTGCACTATCTAAGCTACAAAGCCATGATCTTCTTGCTTAATGCCCCCAATTTCACGCTGTGTTCCCATCATGAGTCATTCCCCAAGGGCTTAAGTTGGTATGCGGCAGGGTGGTTGTAGAGACGACTTGAAATTTTAGCCTTTACGGAGAGAAGAATTTCATGACGAATAGTTGCAGAATATGAGATCTTCACTTACAAAGTACACCTATTAATTAAGCACGAGTCAAGCCTAGAGATAAATATCAATAGTTGATAAGTTTCTCAACCATTTCTTCATCCTTGGTCTCTAACCACTGATTTGTATTCTAGAAATATCTCGCAAAAGTCGTTTAAAAAATTCCCCTGTCAAATGGGACGCATCCCGCCCTTATTAATGGTCGAGGTTCAGTCCTAAGGGAAAATTTACCTTCAGGTTCGTATAAAACACAACTAAAGAGAATTGTCCAGGGGTAGTATTTCCATGACTAGTCTTAGCTGAGCGAGTCAGGTCACATGTTCTCTCAATGTAGTACATAGAAAGCATTCATTTTAGTGGGGCTATCAAATCAAAACTTTAAACATTGAATCGCGTCACACGTATCTCTCTCCAGAAATGTTAATTCTAACTTTCCTTGAAATAATCCTCCCAAATAATGAAATATTGATTTTAATTTGAATACAAGTCTGAGGCTTTCTAAAACAATAATAAAATCAAGTCTCAAATTTTTATCAACATTAATGGTAGCTACAGGTTTTGGGTGAGCTGGGTCATTTTAATGCCTCGTCATTTCTTAATATTAAGAACCCGCATCAGCTAATCATAAATCACGCACCAGCCGAGCACCAGCCCATGCATACGGATAATTACGCTGGTACCAATTAATACTAGATCTTGTTAGTGATATAAACCTTTATGGCTCTTATTAATGTAGCAAAGGATTATTCAAGTGACCTACAAACTCGTACGACCAGCAATTCGTGGGTGGGTGGCCCAAGATCCACCCAGAACGATATTGTGCTTTCCATCAAAGAAATCAGCTATTTATATCGGTTAGTAAATCAATCTTGGTTTACTGATCATGAATTACCGGTAAATTCTGGATATAGTTTCATAGGTTCAAATCCTTCGTACTTTGAAAGCTGAGAACTAGTCCACTCCCAAACGCCGCCCATCTCAGCTTGACCAGCAAGACGATTACCCTGACTAGTCACCGGAACAGGGTGCCAATTTTTGAAACCCACATTGGCCTCATTCAAATCGGTAAAAACACACTCAACACTCTCATCAAGTGAAGTTGAATTATTTTGAGCGCCAGTAAAGTCGGTTTTCCTAAAAATTTCATAAGTAATTGGATAACTATAGTAAAATTTTGTCCGTTTATTGTTATGACGCACCTCTGAAAGTTGCTAGTAGATTTTTTTGAATTCAGACTATTGACGTAACTATATATACTCCTTGCTTCCTCGAATGTTGGGATTCTTCCGTTCATCCACTTAGCACATTTATCTAGCTCATTAAATGAAGCAAAGACTGGCCAGTCTAATGTATATTTCAATGGAACGAGGCCGTACACTGTGCGTAAGTATTTCCCATTAATAAATTCCCATAAATGAGCGGGAGTACCTAACGCATTTGCATTAGCTCTCAGTCCCTAATTAGTGACTTTTTTACCATTTTTTTCATTAAAACCGTTTGATAGCGTCATGTGTTCTTGATTTAGGCTACAATTATCGTGAAGTCTTTTATCGACCCAAGAGGCAGGTATATCTTTGGCGCCACTCTGTTGAAGATAATTCGCATACTAAATTCCAGTCAGCCGGATATTTCAAAATACAAAGTAGGGCTCCACATCTTCAATTGAGATTGGACGAGCTTGAGCCTGAAATTTTGAAGTCTCAATGCTTCGGCGCGGTTTTTCATTATCCCTAGATAAATATAAATTGGAGTCATAACTTAGTTTTGTGTTTGTAAAGAATTTACCATCCAAAGTGACCTTCCCACGAATTATCATCTTCAGGGTCATTAAATCCAATGAAAAAATTTTGAGCTGGTATTTCGAACCATTCATTTGAGACCCGCTTTGCCTTTGCTTTTATTGCATCAGATGCAAAATCTGGAACTTTTCTTGTCGGTGGTCGAACACAGTTGCTCATCAGCAAAACATATAAAAGAGTTTCAAGATGCATTAGTTCATGCTCAAATGAAACCCAGAGAGCGCGAGCAAGAGATCGAGTCATAAATTGAGATTTTTGGATAGATCGGATTTTTGAGCGGACATTATTTTGATAAGCCCAAATTTTATCCACTGGAGGCCACTTCTCTGGAATCTTTGAGTGAGAATGACAGATTTCAGAATTTTCTACATCTGGATCAATGCCTCTTTCAAATATTACAGAAAATTTCAAAGTTTCATCCAAAATTTTTCCGGTAACTTTAGAGATTTGAAGATCTCCAAACGTAGGTATATGACCAAGATAAAAAATAATCGGGTTCCTTAGTTTTATTGGTCTCTCATCCAGGTTCTCCTTAGGAACCATTACTCTAGTTACTAAATCCCAAGCGGCCCAAGTTGCTTTCCAGTCTTCAAGACTTGGAATAAACGAAGATGCATATATAGCTGGGTCTAAGTGAAATATCATATCGGATCTAGTTAGATGATAGAGACCTGTAGTATTCATAAGTTAACGAAGGAGTCCCAAAATTTAATTTTGGTTCAATAAAAGTAGTAGATCGTCTGAAAATACAAAACTGTATCGATTAAGTTTTTTAATGCATTGAAGACACCTAAGACTTTGTAATTTTAGACATCAGATCATGAGAATTTCCACTAGGATGATAATTTGATCTAAAAAGCAGGCTATCACTTAGAGCCTCTAAATCAAAAGTTTAATTATCACCAAATACTTGTAGAATAGATAATATTTCGAAGAATTCTATGAAAAGACTTCTAAGATACTCATCGTAAGGTTTTAGTTTGATGCGTGTATTGACCCGATTCATTATGAAGTTCTAAAAGAGTTTATCCAGCGCCATTTAACCTGATTAGACAATTTTGGCAGAAATTGATTTATAGTGGTGATTCAAATAAGTGAGTTAAGAAATAGGAGATTGTAGACTTACTGTAAGTGGTAGATGAAGCTGACCATCGATTATTTTCTACGAGCCCAGAGTCTTTCCACAATTTTGCTGCCTCTTCATCGGGATATTTTAGACTCTTTTCAATAAGAATACGCTCACCCTCTTGAATAAATATGTCTTCAAACTGTAATTCTCTTTTTGGTACACAGAATGCTTGGTGACGACCACCATCATCATCGTGAATATACTCTCCAATAACTCTCCAATCAGACAATTCGAAGACCACTTTTCCAAGGATATTATTCGCATGAAGTAAACCATTCAGTATAAATCTTCTAATTGTTAGTACTTTTTCCCATTTTATGGCATAGGTTTACTTGTGAGTTAGGCCTGCGCAATCTATTTTGACAAATGAGCAAGATTACTCGGGGCGTATTTAGATTCGAGTTCTTCATTCTTACCATTATACGCATGACTAGAAACATTAATAACCAAAATGGTACTTAATACAGCGGATTACCAGAGGACTATCTTACAAAATTTTGTCACCATTGCACGTGCCATCAACTCCTATTAACATTAAATCGGCTGGCTGCAAGATTTTACTGAATTTCTGCAGAAATATTGAAGCTTCATTACGCTCAAAGTTCCCTTCATTTGTTAGATAAGATTGGCCCACCAAAATCAACATTTTGCATACCTAGACTAGAGCCAAGCCACAAGATACATTTAGGCCGTGATATGATATCTGATTTCATCAGCCATTGAAGTGCATCATCATAGGTTCCATAAAGCCCGTGACACTTGACATGCTCAAATAATGGTATTTGCCGTAAAGTCCGATCCAGCTCTTTCTGTGACAAGTCCAAGGCATAATAATCGATATTTTTTTTCGCGTTATTTAGTGTTTGCAGTAGAATTCCAACTTTCCGGAGGTTACTAATAGATTTAAATTATTCTTATCAATGACAAAGATTTGTTTATTAACCACTAACCCACTCCCTAGTTCCAAAACAATTGAGCCATTGGCGATTTGAGAAGATATTTCATGAGCTGAGTGCTCCAGAATTTTTATCTCAGATAGAGTAAGATAGTATTCTTCCAAGTAAGTGATCATTTTATTAGTTAGCTTAGTTCATCTTTATTCCTCACGCTTATTCTCACCTTTTCAAACAGTTGAAGGCCATTTTCATCATAGAGAAGTAGAGTCGGGAGAGTTTTCGCACGGTGATTCCTCAATCCTTTCATAATCATATCTCTAAACCCTTTTTCGGCCCGATCTTGGCGAATATCTGTAATACTGATACGAGAGCCGTTATAATCCTGGTACTTGCTACTAAAAGATCCAAACTTTCTCAGTACGTAATTCTCATTGGCAGGGTAAGTATCCTCGCCATCATACTGCTTCATGTTAGATGGAACTTAGGCACACTGATATTACCGAGATTTGGAAGTAAACGCTGGATATGTCAAATTTTAGGAATCAGTCATGAGATATAAATTAATGGGATGCAGCTTTAGCTATAAGTTATGATATAGGGAATACAAACTTGCCAAGATTAATTTATTAATTCATGTGAACCCAATAAGTGTCACAAGTTTTCCATAAGTAGATTGGGGCAGGGGTATATTTTCGGATATCGGGCAGATACTGCTTAATGTTTCATACTTATCATCATCTTGCATATATGGCTATATTTCTCAGGCGTAGCCTATTCTAATGATCGATTTTTTTAATTGGAGATATGCTGTGTCTCTGCTAATTTAATTACATAAGAATTTGAATTGAAGTTGAGGCCACGATTGAGCTCGTGCACTTCTAGTTCAATTGAGATCAAGCGAGGCTTGCACTTTTTTGGATCTCTATTATTGAGATTATGGTCCAAAATCCGGAAGTTAAAACTAAAATAAATTGAGTGACCAATTGTCCTGCTATTTGTAGGAAGATGAAGCAGAAATCAATATATCGATCTCAAATCTGAAGAGCAGAGCTTTTGATCAGCATCACATTTTCTAAGGTATTATTTAACGCTTTAACTTACTCTCAGTATTGCCGAGTAGAGACTGATATTAATATTCTTTGAATTTTAATTTTAACTTGGATAGTAACTTACAAAAATCTACTACTTCTTAATGTTTTGATTTTATCATCATTAACGAGCCATAATTTATAGCGTTTGTGACTTCCATACAGTACTTCCATTCAAAATCTTTCAAGTTAACTGCAATTATCCACAATGATTAAATATATTAATATCAGCATATATGGATCTAGTCTTCGGGTAGCACTTTGGCTTACTCATGTAAGCTAAGCGATTTAGATAAAATGATATTTCTATGCAGTACATAGATCTTGACCATAGTATTAGAGCTTTTTGATCAATATTTCAAACGTAATGCTATGTCCCGCACATCTCTCTCCAGAGATCTGATAGAATTGGTATAAAAGCTTAGTCCGTAAATGTTTGATATAGTCTTCTTGTGGCCTTAATTTGGCAAGTCTTATATCTGGAGGCTTATCATAACGCTGATTACACATGCTTTATCCCGTGGAATTCTCATATATTCTGTAGATAGGGAAGATAATTCATGTTTTTTTTAAATCTAATGGACAACTTTGATGGGAAATGTATTATATGTTTTTCTAATTTGCTTTCTCTTTATTAAGTTGATAGACTTTTTCCAAATTCGAATTAGCAAATTATAATTTTGTACCTTAATATTTTGCGATATCTCTAAATTCTTTTTTTCTGAAAAATATAAGGATTTCCAGGAAGCTAGTAAGATTATTTAATACTGCGAGATTGTAGCTTGATACTGAGTACCCATAATTTTCTCCTTAATTAGCGAGCGAGTATTTCCAGAATATGGAGGGGCTTTTTTCTGAGCCTTATGGAGACATAAGTATATATCTTATTTTTTCTTTTCATTTTCGATCTCTAAATATGGGACCATAGGGAAGGATAGGCGCATTTTATATTAAAAGTCTTTTAAGCAGTAAAGCCCGGTGTCTCGGCACAATGACAAGAACCAGCTAAATGCCGAGAATGTTCTTTTAAGCCATTGATTCGTAATAGCTTCTGCTAATTTCCATAACTTTCTCCTCTTTTGAAATAAGCTCAATAAATTTTTGAAAGAGAAGGCATCTTCTTGTTTGACTTGGGTCGACAAATGTTTGTAGAAACGGTATCGATGGTTGTGTACTGCCGGTGCACCAGATATTGCCACAGGGCCACGACTTACTTTCTTGGAAACCCTGGCCCCCTTCTTGCTCCATAATTCTTCTTAGTGGTACTCAAGGCGAGCCCCTGGTCATTAGTTGATCTGGCTATTCGCGATATCGCTATAGTTGATTTAAACATTGGCATATACACTGTACAGGTCACAAGCTACACCCTCCCCTTAAAGATCTAATAGATCTGACACGCTTATTTCTACCATTAATGGTGTTTCTTCTCAGAGTTCAAATGAGAACCCCTATTCGTCGGCCAGACCAAAGTTTGATGTGCACTAGCGCACTCACCACACCGGGCTGTCTATCCGCACCATAGCTACGCATGCCCCCACTAGCAATAATTAAAGCAATGCTTTAGCTGGGCTCCTGGCGACTATACCTGCGCAGTTAGTAACATGGCATCAAAAATAATGCTGTAGCGGGCCAATAATTCCGGGAAGACTTCTGAGTGGAAGCTTAGAACAATAGACACCCCTTACGTCCTTTCTTTTTCTCCTGTTAGTATTCCTTTCCATAGTGCACCCATATTTTTCTATACATTGCTTGCCCTATGATTCTGACCTTGGTCGCTGCGTAAATCTCTTGAATCTATTTGGAATTGTTGGCATTTCTATCCTATTTAATACTTTTCTTCAGCGAGATTCCACAAATTCTAACAGCAAACCATTGCCTTCATACATGAACGCCACAGGCTGGGGCATGTTGAGAGCCATGTTGAGAGCCATGTATGCAATTAGAACCTAAAGTTTAGCCTTCGTAGGCTCTATGACTTTTGCTCTCTCCTCTCGTTTTCTAAACGCAGTTTTTCCTGTTGAAGGTGCGAAAACTGATGCGTAAGTCCTTAGGAGCGTCGAGCCCGAAGCTGTTGGAATCATTTTTCAGGCGGGATACGCGAGACTTTTTTGCACGGACTCCTCTAATGATATAACCCTCTCCTTAACAGAAGATGTAATATAATATATGGCTGTCTAGGCCGTCTTGTAGTTGTAATAAGTCATTACGGGCCCATTGATCTCCTCCACTTCACCCATTACAATGAGTCTAACCTTTCCCAATATTTTCCCTAAGATTTTAAGGTTTTTATACTTTAGAGCTCGCTAGACTCCACTGCCTCTAGAACTATTACCGTTCTCGCTGTTCTCGACACGCCAGGACCGCTGGATTTGCCCACACTCTCCATAGTGTCTAACAGAGGGTTTAATGATGGAAAACGGGTAAATAAATAATAATTTTTTTTTCACGATTTCAAATTGATGGCTACGTCTGCGTGAATCTCTGCGTAGTCTTTTCTTAAATCTGGTTAGATAATTAAATAATAAATACCAAGTAAACAAAATAAATACTTTAAATTAATATCCGGCAAAACATCCAAGTTACTTTTCAGATAGCAGTTACTTTGAGGTAAAGGTGGATAGAAAGGTTATCGAATGTTTCTATCGAAGTATTCATGGCAGCCCAGATGTATCAGACGTAATCCAAAAGGTTTCCGTGACTTCACTTAGGTGTTGGTAAAATATATATAAAATAACTTGGTTCTCTAAGAACATCACTTTTGCCAGAAAGCTGCGCAGCCTTTCACGCTGCCCGTATCTTCAATTTGTTATCATAATCATCATTATCCTCCTTCCATCTCTTCGCTTTCCGTGCTCCAACATGTCGAGTGTGGCTGCTGGTGTGGGTAAATCCAGCGGTTTCGACGCGTCGCAAAATGTGACAATGGCCTCACCAAATAACGGCAGCGGAGCGCAGACAGCTCCAAAAGATAGAAATCTCGAAATCCTGGGGAAACTACTAAAATAGGTTAGACTAATAGTGATGGGAGAGATGAATGAGAAGGACCTACCCTCAGAGGACGTGAACGAAGCCGTGAAGGCCTTCAACGCGCACAAAAGGGCCTGGACGGAAATGTCCCAGAAGAAGTCTCCTATCAAGGAGAGGATGATGGCTTCAGAGGAAGTCGTAAAGAAAAGCCTCGCGGATCCCGCTCGGAAAGCTGCTCCAGCAGCGGTTTCGGGCGTGCCGACAGCAAGGAGTTACGCGTCGGTCGTAGCTCCGCAAATGACGAAGACAGCGGTTAGAATAAGAATCGACGGCGCTCAAAACTTGCAGCCACAAGAGCTGCTTTCAAAGGCAAAACAGCACATACAAGGTGCATACGCAATTCGTCAAATGCGAAGCAACGATACCGAGATATTCGTCCAGTCGGCGTCCCAGAGAGACGCGGCGCTAAACATGCGACAACCAAAAGATTTCAAAATTCTACGGCAAGATTTCCCAGTCGAGGTCGACGGTGTCCCATTACGGACACGAATTGAAGGTGGCAGAGATGCAAACAATTTGCCATCATCAGGGAGATAGAGACGGCTACGAAGGCACGGATTCCAGGCTTAGTCATAAGTCGTATAAGGTGTTTACACGACAGAAAGAAACACCAGCGGTCAAAAAAAAGTGGCCGCACTCGAGGATTAATTGTGGTAAGCCTCCCATCGGAGGCAATGCAGACGGAAGTGGTCCGAAACGGCCTAGTCATGAACGCCATGCTCTACACCGCGCAGGTGTGGTCACCACGGGCTCAGCCAAAGCCGTGTTACAACTGCAGCCAATGGGGACACACGCAGGCGTCGTGTGGAAAGGCAGCCAGGTGCGGTGAGTGCGCTGGCGCTCACCAAACTCGGGACTGTCCGAGGAAAAGGGTTTCTTGTGCCAACTGCGGCAAGGAACATCGTTCATGGCAGAAAGCAGCGTGTCGGACCTACCAGGTTTACAAGGGTAGTGTGGAGAAGGCTCGGATGGAGATGTTGTCAAGAACGGCTGAAATATGAAATGAAAAACCACCAATGGCGCCAATGCGAACAGTCAGACCAACTGATGATCAGGGATTCACTTTGATCACCAGTAAAAAGGCTGAAGGACTCAAAAGAGGGCCGGGACGACCACGCAAGGTAGTCGAAGCCCCAGTGGCACCAATAATCGCCTCGACAGCAGCACCACCATCGGGACCTACTGTTCGAACACTTCGACGACCAACGCCAAGTGAGGAGGTGCCTTCTCTTTTTAATTTCTCACAATGTTGGTCTAATCGAAGGGTGAGTTTATGAACTATGCGGAAAGTTTATGAATTTATGGTTGAAAGGAACGTCCTCAGCATTAAGCAGGGTCGGTTCAGAGGGGCAGG